AATAAAAACTTATGATTTTTGCGAAATGACCTGAATTTGACGTTTTTATTGATTCTCACAATATATATGATATTCACATCAATTACTATATATTATTAACAGATATTTAGCTCTGATTTAATGCTTACATTATTATTAAAGTTATAATTCTTTTCCGGAGACTTCCTTGATATTAGACCTTATATTTGTGGAAATACATATTATTTACAGTATGTAGTATTGTAACTAATCAATACAGTAAAAGTTGTATTTCATTCATGAATACCTGCCTTTTTCTAATAGCTCCATACAATCGCTTGTCTTTTAATTAATAAATAATAATTAAATTAATAAAATTATATAGTTTAGAAAATAATATTATAACTTTTTAGTCATAATTCTCTTCTACCTACTTATAATCATTTCTTGGATTATAATAATTATAATGAATTTTATATTTAAGATTTTATATAAATATTCTAACATTTATTCTTTGAACATAATTAGTAAAATGTCATTTGAATACTCAATTAGAAAGTGAAGACAGAAAATATTTGAAACATTTTGTCATCAATGCTTATATAACTTACATAGAGAGAAGTACTGTATATTGACTGTATTATGTTAAATACTGTAGTATGAAGCAGTATACATTCAGTTATATTGGGAACCTTAATTGATAGGTAAATTATGTGACCCTAAGTTATATGAAAAAGTAATGATTATACTACGGAAGATAAAAATCATTAAAATATGAATGTATATTAAGAGTAACTATAGCTTTACAGTATATTCAAAGTAATACATTTAATGGAATATATGGAATTTAATCCACATAGGTCTATTATGCATTAGTAAATTAAGACCTTTATAAGCAATGAATAAGTGTAAATATAAAACTAACGTTACTCTTTTAATTAAGAATTCATATCATTACAGTATAGTTGAGTATGGATTGGTATGAAATCCAAAGTACAGTATTAACATTTGCATACTTTTATGTTGAATATTTGAAATATCAATTGAAATTATTTGGACTATTGAACGCTTTACTGAGATTTATCAGAATATTCCGGTTAATCATTAAACTTAAAGAAATGTTTACTTTTAACAAATGTTTTAAGAGCTCTATATTAGAATAGTTTACATATTCAACAGAAATGAATCCTCACATTCAATATTAAACCAATTTTAAGGTAGAATAAAAGTCCACTATCATCAATATAATATTATATTATATAACTCACTAAATACTCTGTATGATTGTGTTATTTACAAATAAGTAACATATAATATGAGTCATACCGTATGACCATAATATTGCTATACTATGAGAAACATATGAATCTGTACAGTATAATGTTTATCTAATTTCAGACTCTAATTACTGTATTTATTTTAAAGATTGAATTATCAGTAATACGGTAAATAAATTAGACAATTAACTAAACCATAAATAAATATTGAACACATACCGGTAGTACTGTATACGATGTGAGCTTTGAACAATTATAGTAACGTTAGCTATTTTATTTTTATTATATCAAATTATTAATTTTATGCAAAAGTCAATTATTCATCAAATATTCATAGATTTAAGGTAAACGAGTAGTATTATAACTAGCAGTCATATTTTAACCTGATGAGTTATAATACTACTCGTTTACCTTAAATCTATGAATATTTGATGAATAATTGACTTTTGCATAAAATTAATAATTTGATATAATAAAAATAAAATAGCTAACATTACTATAATTGTTCAAAGCTCATGTGGTTTTACCGTATATCAAGGTAATAATAATAATAATTAATAGATATAGAATGATAATGAAGAATATACAAACATTTTCACATTTAATTCTTATAAAACTCTCTTTAATATTGTGTTCAGAATTATAAGCAATTGATAATCATTAAAAACATTCACTTGTTTATTAAATTATTTAAATATATTTATATAAAATAAAAGTGAACTCAATTGAAAAATGAAATAAAATAACTTTTATATGAAATAATAATAACAAAAATCATTGATTATTAGCAACACTTGTTCCTTCGGGTGTCGGCGCTCTCCTCGTCAGTGGGCGGGTCGGCAGCTATTGTGAGGCCTCTGTTCACATAAATCACACACAATATCAGCAAAACAGACAAACATTTGCAATGAAAGCAGACAGACCTCTGACTGGAGCCGGAAGTGGTGGACCGGGACTTGACTTGTGTTTGTTCGTGAAGTAACTGGTTTTGTGCCAACATTTCTAATGACACCAGAAAACAGTGGCAAACATTATTAGCAACACATTCGCATCAATGGCTCACTTGAAGACATACTGTGAGTTAAGTCGAGGAAGAGGTCGTCGATGCCTTTGTTGGTCTTCGCGGACGTGCAGTAATGGTTGGCGTTCACCGATTGGCTGTACTTCTGGGCCTCGGCTATGATCTCGTTGTCGGCGATGTTGTGCTGCTGTTGCGGTGACAGGAGGTCTGTCTTATTGCCGACGATGGCGAGCACCACATGATTGCCGCGAATTTTGCGCAACTCTTTGACCCACGACTTGACTTTGGAGAGGGAGTCGGCGTCCGACACGTCGTACACGAGAACCGCTCCGTTGGAGTCCCTGTAATAGATGGGACCCAACGCGTGGAACCGCTCCTGACCTGCAATCACACCATTCATGAGACACATTAGTGACAGTGGTTGGTGAAACTGGTGGTGACATTCACCTGCCGTGTCCCAAATGGACAGCTGGACTCGAGTGTTGTTTACGATAAACTTTTTGGTCAGAAACGACGCCTGAAGTGTCGACTCGTGAGTGTCACTGATGTGGCAAAAGATATCATTAGTTAGAGAGATATCATGTGAGAGAGAAAGGGATCAATTGAAGTGATACTTGAATTTGTTGTGACAGTATCGCAGCATCATTGAGGTCTTCCCCACACACCCCTCGCCTAATAACACGATTTTGAACTGTTGTTGACTTAATTGCACTGAATTTGAGCTCATTTTCTATGCATTCATACGAATCGCAAGTAATTGTAAATCACTTTCAGATGAATACTCGACAAACAAATGATTACTTTTTATAACCAATTATTCACTCTTTTGCTGTCTTTTCATCACTTATTGCACTCTCTCTAAGCATTCATACGAATCGCAAGTAATTGTAAATCACTTTCAGATGAATACTCGACAAACAAATGATTACTTTTTATAACGTTAATAAGTGAGAAAACGACAGAAAAGTAGTGAATAACGTGAGAGAGATACCGTATCCGATACCCGATACCCAAGTATGTAAATCACGCAGGTGGTTAGGTAAGTTGGATAGTCACTTGGGGAGTAATTCACTGCCAAACAATTGGGATTATATTTAGCACTAAATTCATATAAATTGCACCAATAGATAGCCCTACACCACAATTACATGAACCTGGTCAGTTTGTGAGTTGAATACATGAGTGCAATCTACTGGACTGTGAACTGACACACAGTAAGTGTTAGCTTTCATACAGTAATCAATGACAAAGTGAGTCAATGTTTAGGTATATTTGAGGCCTTTATTACAATTTCATACAAATCTAGACATTCAATGCAAATGTCATTAACAGTGAAATGTCCAAAATGACTAAATGGTGATCACAACTAAACTAATGGTCACTTCATTCATCTCTGGATTTGGTTTGGATCTGAAGTTTAATAAACACTTTGAGTGACGGATCGGTGATGTATTGATCCAACTGTTTATGCCAATCAAGACCCGCTTTCTTATGGTAATACTCTTCGAGTTCTTCGACATATTGAGTCCAAACACAGTTATCACATCCCGATTGACAACAATTATCCGGCGGTTTGGGCACCGATTTCAGCGCCTCTTTCTGATCATCACTATTGCCATCGTTTGGTGTCTTATCAGAGGAATCGGTTGAAAACAGTTTCATAACTAATATATTATTTAATGGTTTAATTGATTTCAATCTCAATATCAAAGACATGAAATTGGGTGAAAAGACACAGAGGTTTGGATCAAATGAATGGCAAATAATTAGAAAACAAAACCAAAAGTTTGAAAACAAATGAAATGATCGCACATTTGGTTGACATGTTTGCCATCTTTGGGCCAAAACGTGTGAACACAGAGTCATGTGTTAGTCGTATGAAGACATGAAACGATAAGTTTTGCCATAATTTGAAGACCAAAAACAATCGCCGGTAAAGACATAAAGACGGGAGACGTGGGAATCGATGGTTCGTTTCGCACAAGTAATCATAGGTCCGGCCGGGAGTGGGAAGTCTTCGTACGTGTCAGCGATGGTAAGACACGGACAGGCGCTCAACCGGACTATCGATGCGTTCAACTTGGATCCGGCGGCCGAACACTTCGACTACAATCCCATCGCAGACGTGAGACAACTGATAAGTGTTGAGGACATCATGAATGACGAGGAGCTGAGTTACGGGCCGAACGGCGCCCTCATCTTCGCCATGGAATACCTCTTGGAAAACATGGATTGGTTTGAGGAGCAGTTGGGAGATGTGGACAACGACTACATACTGATCGATACGGCCGGACAGATAGAGCTGACGGGCCGAACGGCGCCCTCATCTTCGCCATGGAATACCTCTTGGAAAACATGGATTGGTTTGAGGAGCAGTTGGGAGATGTGGACAACGACTACATACTGATCGATACGGCCGGACAGATAGAGCTGTCCACTCATCTCAATGTCATGTCACGACTCATCCGTTTCCTTCAGGCGCACGACTTCAGGGTTTGCGCCATATTTTTGTTGGACTCGCAGTTCATATCCGATATCTCGAAGTTCTTCTCCGCGCTGATGGTGTCCCTGTCGGCGATGATCAGTCTGGAGGTACCGATCGTTAACCTGTTGACCAAAACGGATCTGTTGGACACAACGGCGCGCAGACGTCTGGAGAGCTTTCTGGAGCCCGACTCTTACCTTCTGGAGAACCAGTCGTTCGACAAATGGGGACAAAAGTATCGCAAACTAACCGAAGCTTTTGGTAAACTAGTGGACGACTACTCTCTCATTAAATTCATGCCAATCAATGTGTTGGATGAGGACAGCCTTAATGATGTACTCCTAACCGTAGACAATGCCATGCAGTTCGATGAGGAACAGGAGGTAAAGATACGCGACTTCGATGAACCAGAAGGCGATCAAAACGAAGCCAATTCTGAGGATACTTGAAGTGATCCTTTCATTTAGTGTCTATACATCTAATCACTATTTATATAAACATTAATTACACATATTTTGTAATAAATATAAATAAGAAAAATTATTAAATAATCACTTGTTTACAAAAGTTTTCTAATACAATGTGCCAGATTTTGATTTCCAATAAATTGTGAAATTTATTTGATTTTACGGAAACATGTGTTACTAATGAAGTGTTTAAACATTAATTTACTTTTTGAACAAATCATTTGCTTTTGTTTTCCAGGGTTTTTATTTATTCACCGGTTTTCTATAGTAATGATGTAATTAAGAGAATTTATTCACTTAGATTTGAGGGCATAATAAATACTACTGTAATCATGTTAATACAATTTATACACTGTTTTTGTTGCTTTTAAAATGCAAACATTATATTAATTTTAATGGATATACGTTTTGGTCGAATATTGTTCACATATATATTTTGTTTCATATTTTTATTCAATAATTTATGCGATAGAGTGCTGACACAAAACAAATTAGCAAGTTCCAATAACAAGTTATCTTCCGAAAGCACTATAAGCAAAAAACTGTCACCTCATGGACACTGGCACTACGGTATGTCACTTGTCTAACCATATCACTAAAACATTTACAAATTAGTCTATAGTATTTGTTATTTTTAAAATATAGAATATTCTTGATATTTACACAATATAAATTTATTTGAATTTTATTATTATTACTCTACTTTCTGTATAAATTTATCCTGATAAGAATCAATCTATACCCTAATAAATAAGTTAGCATGAACTGTATATTATATAACTATAGGCACCAACTGGCCCCACCACGGCTATAAGAAATGTGGGGGTCAACAACAGTCCCCCATTAGACTAATCTCGTCCGATGCCACGGGAGAGGAACTGCATCTAAATTTCCGCAATTACCGCAAACCTATTAAATTGGCGTACATCGAGAATAATGGACACACAGGTAGGACTGATCACTACTTCCATACAATACAGTACTTTATGTGGGAAGCAATGGTATCAGAATATATTGCTAATTGTCTCAGAAAAGACTTCTAAAATAATTTCAACTTTTAGTACAAATTGGTTTTAGCGATAAATTTATAATAACTGTTTACGGGTCGGCATCTAATTTCAAGCCCTATATATTCAAACAATTGCATTTCCATTGGGGCAGTTATAATGGTGTCGGTTCTGAACACACAATCGATGGTTATAGGGGTCCATTGGAAATTCATCTAGTTCATTACAATAGAAAGTATTCCAGTTTTGACGAGGCGGCTGATAAAACAGATGGACTTATGGTTTTGGGTGCGCTCTATAAAGTAATACATACCTAAAAACAATTAAACCATTTGTTTGATGCATTAATTGTGAGAAACAATGACTCGATTCAATTGATTGATAGATCTCTTCGCGAAACAATCGGTTTATGTCGACAGTCATGTCATTAGTGAGAAGTGTTCCCAAATATAAAGACAAAGCACTTATATTGCAATCATTTACGCTGAGGTCACTGTTGCCCTCCCGGTTAAAGCCATTCTTTGTCTACGACGGGTCACTGACCACTCCTCCCTGTTATGAAAGTGTCCACTGGTATCGTATGAAATCATCTTTTCATTTGTCGCAATATATTATACGCAATAATGAAAACAATTATTTTAGGCTCGTATTCAAGAATACAGTGAACATTGGCAACGCACAGGTATGCGCACAGAATAATAATTAAGACAACAATTACTGTTAATTTAGCATTTTATTAGCTCTAAGAATAAATTTTCTGATAATGTAATAAATATTATTATAAAATCTATTTTGATTGTCAAACACATAACACAAGTGTTGAGCGCAAAACCGGTTCTCTTGTGCTCTCCTCTCGTCAATTAGATAATGAGTTAATCACATCTTACGTTCATTTAATACTAAATAATTGTCACTCAAATTAAACTAATTACAGGAAAAGCAATTCCGTAAGTGTCGGTCGGGAGATAACAACCGCAAGACGGGTCTCAAGAAAACCATTTCAAACAACTTCAGACCCCTTCAGGCTACTAATGAAAGACAAATCACTATCTCGGCCTAATATTATGATAAATGCAATCAATGGTTAAGAACTAAACACTATTTTACAAAAGTATAAAGGGAATGTTCGGTAAAAACGTATAAAAAATCAAAATCATATCAAATAAATATAAATTATATACAAATGATATTAGTATTAAAACTCTGTTTTTGGTCCGTTTTTTATACAAATGATGAGAACCCTGGAAGTGGTGCTCGACTTCCGGCCATATTATTGACGATAATTCTGCCGCCGTTTAGATTAACGGACGGACTGTCGAGTTCACTATCTTCTGATGCGTTTATAGCAATGGCTGCCAAATAACTGGGCGGTGGAGGGGCGGGAAGGGCTGGCGGATCCCGTAATGGCATTGAATGTCTGTGATGTGTTGGCACTACATATTGTTTAGCGTGTCGTTTCCATGATGGCTGTCCTTTCCTGAGTGTGTCGTTAACATTGGCGTAATGGTTGACGAAATGGTTGGCGGCGCTCATGTCGTCGTGTTCTGACTCCGACTCCGGACCCGAACTACTCATTTCGCTCGGCTTTTCAGTCAGACTCTCACCACTGCTCTCGTAAAGTCCGGCGCCTTTAATGTCGTCGTCATCGTCCTCCTCCTCCTCATCCGAGTATGTGATGGAACCGGGAGAGGGTCGGGGCGGGCACTTAGTGGCTGCCATACTGGCCACTGTACTCAGTGTGCCGTTACTCCTGCGTTGAATTGTATTCATAGAAGTCTGTTGTCTCATCTCAAATCCTGTCGGATAATGAGTGTCCATATTGTCGTCCAAACCAAAGCCCACTTCTGAGAGCCTGTCCTGCGATCCTTTTATGATCTCTTGTTTGTATTTATTAGTCTTATTCTTGACACAAAGAACTGCGATAACCATTATAGTGATGACAACACTAAGACAGGCGCACAGTATGACAAACCAACTCTCCCTATAAACACATTTACACATTAATACCACAATTATGTAAATCACATCATAATCTCATTTACCGATAGTATGGCATCCGAGCCCGTAGTTCCAGATGAGATGGCGTTTGGATGACTACGGAACCAATCACTTTGTCGGGATATGCCGGCTCACTAATGCCCCTATCATTCATTGACATCACTCTAAATGTGTACTGAGAGGACGGCGCCAAATGAGTGAAACTCAGTTCATATCTCTCTTGTCTCCCATTCTTAATCTGAGAGACGGGTTGCCATTCAAGCGCTCCCTTTATGTTAAGATTATTCGCTTCAATCAGATAACCAGTTATAGGCCTATACTCCGGGTTCTTCCACTTGAGCTTAACTGATGTCAATGTTTGAGTAGATATAACATCAGTGGGTGGAGGAGGCGATCCCGGCTGTGGGCCAGTCGTCACTATAATCGATACATACATTTGATAAGCAAATGGATTTGAAAAGAGCGAACAAACAAACCGTTTCCAATAGTCTCGGGTCCCACTCCTGCTGATGTCTCGGCCCTAATTTTGAATGTATACATAACCCGTTCCCTTAACCCATTCACCACTAAATAGCTGTCGTTTATCTTTTGCTTCACTTGTTTGCTGAAGTCATTAATCAGTGTCTCATACGTCACGTAATATCCCAGAAGAACTCCATTTGGTTCTTGCGGTGGTTTCCACGACACCTTCACCTGAGACATCGTGATCTCATCGAACACAAGAGCGCCCACTTCTCCGGGTGTGTCCTCTTTGGTCTGCACAACGATGGCTCGAGAACGCGGCCCATCGCCGGCCGGATTGAATGCCGACAACTGGATGCTATAATTGGACCATTTTATGAGATCCAACAGAATGAACGACTCGGTCGTGTCGGGCACGATCTCCATCATCTCCCGGGGCTGTTCGTAATACCCGTTCTTATGAGCGCCCAACTCATTGAACCGATGGTGAGGTTCTGTTTGTTGCCAATAGAATATCTTATATCCCATGATCTGTCCGTTCTGTTTGTTCCTGTCGGGCGCACTCCACGTCACCTTCACTTCAGATGACGACAAGGCTGTTGTCGTTATGTTTAATGGCTCTCCCGTTGGAACAGCTGTTCAACAATACAATTCAATTATAAGTTTCAAAATTGCGACAAATGCTTCAATAAACGCATACCTTCTCCGACATAAACCACTTTGGCTTTACTGGTGGGTCCGTCGCCCTGACTGTTGTACGCGATTACTTTGATTTCGTAGTGTTGGTCGCGCTCTAAATTCTCGATGGAAATGGACGTCACGTTCTTTCCTCGCACTGAACTCGACGGACAGTTAGACGACACGCCCTGTTGTGAGATAATGCAGTACTGGACCTTATATCCGGCCCCACTATCGTCTCCATTCCAGTCGTGAATTTCAGCCCATTTAACGGCAACGGATGTCGGAGTATATGGCGAGACAATGACATTGATGGGGGCCTTGTCTGGAGGGGCGGGAAGGGTGCGAGTGAGGGGTGACTCTAAACTCCAACCGGAGTCTCCGATATCATTCGTGGCTTTAATTCTAAACTGATATGTTGTGAATGGCTTCAGATTAGTAATGGTGTAAACTCTGAGAGTTGGGTCGATTTTGGTCGGGTATGTCCACCAGTGGCCGCCCTGTGATGAGATCTGCGCCGTATAATACCGCAGGGGTGCGAATCCGTCGCGTCCGGGCGTCCAACTGATGGTCACTTGTC